TTCGAAAAATATAATTTACAAAATTACATAAATCGATTCTAGATCCAACGAGTGGATGTACATGCCTTTCTACTAATTAATTAAACTATCTGGTCAACCCCCGGGCAATTAATACAAGCATTCATCCATAATTCCTCGACAATCCCGAGGTTTTAAAAACAAATTTAAAACCATACAACCAACCATCAATTAAGCACAAGCACATAAAAGGGTGGCCATAATAGTGGATTACCTACTTCCTGCAAAACCAAGTTATGCATATAATCCAATATATATGGCTGCGCTTGAGCACACATAGACAATATAAGCCGTTTAATCCGGATCTTGTACATAACGGATTAACCTCGTGCTCTGATACCAATTGTTGGGACCGATGAGGATCTCGATATGCACAAATCACGGACAAACATTCAACATAAACCTATGCACAACGGATCTAAAGGTTTGATGTAGAAAACTTACGGCTTAAAATTTATCTAGATCTGGCTGGCCCGAACAGATGACCGCAAATCAAATCTTCTCGGAATCGAACAAACTTGACCAATCCAGAAAGCTGGCATCACGGCGAAGTCAACGGCGTTGACCGATCGGAAATGGAAGCTTCCACGCGCTCTCACGCGCGCGTGTGAGTCCCAGCAGCTGCGATCTTCCGGTGGCGCGTGTGGGTGGGTGCAGCGGCGGTTGGCGGCGATCTCGACGGCGATCTCTTCGACTCGTCGTCCTGGTCGTCGTGGTATGGTCACTTGCTGGTTTTGGTCTCCGGTTTGGATAGATGATGGATTTGATTGGAATCCCCTATATACCTTAAGATCTTCTACTGTATTCTCAAACAGCTATCTAGATCTTGTATCAGTGGAGCACAAGAAATAGAACAACTCCTTGGAAGAGAGAGAGAGAGAGAGGGGGCGGACGAATTTCCCTAGGATATGGGATTGTCTCTAATCTTACAAGAGCCTAATGTTGTATATATAGAGCTACAGTAGGGACCCTAAGGAGAATAGGATAAGGGATTCTAATATATTAATACTGTGGAGCAACCCCACAATTAATATATTAATAATATTAAAGTCCACCACAATAATATTATTGAACTCCCTTTACCTATCTCAAATTACATTTGAGACACTTTATTATAATTATCCGATTTACCTCCCCATGTTTAAGATATAATT